GATCTCTTCCAATCAGTTGACCAGGTAGCTGTCTTCCAAATATCTTGGCATAGATAAGTGAGAGCCTTCAGTGCTGCATCAGTTTGTGTAAAGATTTCTATTTGTATTCCATCAATTCCTAGAGCCTTGTTCTTTGCCAATGCCTTCAGTGCACCTTGGACATCTTCCTTCAGTACCACTGGCTCTTGATCATATGCTACCTCTTGAAATGGTTGAACATCAACCATTTTGGTACAGTGACTCTGTATATTCCTTTCGTCTTCTTTTGATGCTTTCTGCATCATTCAATATTTTCAATATTTTGCCCATAGAATCCTTCACTATTGCAAGCCAAGACTTCATGGGAGAAAGATGAGGCTGTCTGCTCCCATCAATATTTACAGTTGGAATGTTACAGTCGGAATCCACTCAATGGCAGTCAGTTTTTTATTGTTTGTTAGCCTTTTTATAACAGGCAAAGAATTCAAGGCAGTTCTCACAAAAAGCCTTCTTCCAGCTGGTCTTCAATCTCATCACTATAGCCTGCACTTGAACCTTAGTTCTTGTCTTTAGGTGTTAGCACTCACCCTACCAGATTCCTGGAGCTACTTCCCTGAAAGATTAAACGTTTTTCTATTTCAACCACATCAAAACAGCCGTTTTGAAATCCTTCAGGGACGCAAATCACGTCCTTTTCAATGTTCTTTGCATTTTGAGACCAAAAAGAAGTCTGCAAGATCAGAGCTGTAGAGTAAATGGAGTAAGATTGTCTAACAGAATTCTTGTAGGACAGACAGCTCTTGCTACTAACAGAGAATATGCAAATGCATTGTTGTGATGAAAAAAATAGTACTGGGCATAACTTATCTGGCCTTTTTATTAACAGCGTCGTTTTTAATTTTCTTAAAACTTCTTCCTAATTATAGTCCCAGTAACCACGTGTCCTTCAAGAAAATCTATCAAGATTACACACCCCTGGAGTCCAAAAAACATAGTCACCGTAATCTTTTGTGCGATCTTTCTGCTTTAAATTGAATTGGCCCAGCAGATCCCGTCAGAAGCCACTATTTGATTGGACCTGTTTTTTTAAAGCATCCTAAAGACACTAAGACAAATGTTATGACTGAGAGAACCTGTCTGCAGCCATCCGCTGATCACAGAGAAACAAGTTTTGTTTGGAATAAACCCAAGCGTGTATAAACTAGAGTGTTAGTAGCAGTATTTTTTTACTTAGCCACATATCATTATTACAAAAACAGTTATTTATTGTCTGTCTTCCCGCCAATGAAATGTAAACTCCAAGAGAGCACACCATTTGTTTTAGTCACTGTTTCTTTAGAGTTTAAGATATTTGACCTATTGTGGCTGGCACTCAATATTTACTGAATAAAATCAATGTTACCAAGGATGTAAAGTATACCTGGAACAAACACATTCTTGGAACACGTTTTTCAACATGCCCTTTTTCAACATGCCCTTAATTTCTATCTACTTGTGATTTACGGTAGACTTTAATGGAAAGGTGTCTTTAATGGAAAGGAACAAAGGGAAAAAAGCACTAAACAGAGAATTCTTCTGTTCTCTCATTTCTCTACTTTTTTAAATCTCTGCCTACAGGGAGACTATAATTCCCACTGAAATTTGCCTATCACACATATCTAACCTCTTACAGCCCTTCCTAGATACTCTGGGGAAGGAAGAGCAATCTAAGACAAATTTGACATGCATTTGGCAACATTGTACTCATTTAATAGAACACCAAGATACACTGGCCATGGTATTGCTAGCTTCTTGTCTCATTTTGTTAAGGAGATTTGGTGATTGTTGCTGGTAAGTGTCGGTGAGTTGGTTCCTACTCATGGTGACCCAGTTTAGTGTTTTCAAGGTTGTAAATCTCCATGGAAACTGAAAGTCACATCTCTCCCACAGAGCAGCCAGTGGGCTCAACTTGCCAAACTTGTGGTTAGCAGTCCAGTGCTTACCATTGCCTAGGTGCTGCTTCATTTTGGGTAAGAAGACTAACAATGTGCTTTTTAAATGCAGCCAAGTCTTTGCAAGCAGACCTGAGTAGACTCAGGGTGGGAAGGTGCAGGAAGGTACAGGTACCTTAAATTAAGGGTTATAGGATGTTTGCATAAGGAGCTCTGGTAGCGTAGTGGTTACGAATCGGGCTGTGAACCTTAAGGTCAGCGGTTCGAAAGTACCAGCCGCTCCGCGGGAGAAAGATGAGGCTT